GGGGGGGGGGAGACCTGGCTTGGCCTCACGCTTCCGGTTGACGAGCTCGGCTCTTGATTAGCTCGGCCTGAAGGCCCGAAGCCGTCGGGGATCCACTGCGGGGGGGAGGGGGCCCGCGTTCCCGAGGCTGGCCTGGGTCAAGCGCCCCTGGGCCAGGCCGCCTGTGACTTCTGAGGCTTACCTGAGTCGAACGTCTTGTCCTTGTTCCTGAGCCCTGGCCAAGTGCCCGGGGCGGGGGGGTTGGGAGGAGAGGGGGGAGGTGGTGTTGGGGATCCACCTGGTGAAAAATAGGGGGAGTTTTCGCCCTATTGTGCTAAACGTGTGCGTGCATTTTACCGCAGAGGTGGGGCCCTCTACCATTGTTGCAGAAACGGAGTATTTCTTAGTTTTGCAATGTCTTCGACGACTCTCCTCTCTCCTCCCCCCCCCCCCCCCCCGGTTGCTGTTCCTCCCTGCAAACGAAACTGGCTAGTCACCCGGTGCTTGGTTAAAGCTGTCTTCGGGTGGCTTGTGCTTCTTCGGTGACCCCCCACGGCCTTCCGGTTCCTCATTTTTAAAATGTAAACTTGAAGAGACCGTCCCTCAGCCGGGCGTCGGTGGTGGCTCACACCTGTCATCCTAGCTACTGAGAAGGCTGAGATCTGAGGATCGTGGTTCCAAAGCCAGCCCGGGCAGGAAAGCCCGTGAGACCCTTAATCTCCAATAAAATAAAATTAAAAAAAAAAACTCAGAAAACCGGAAGTGGCGCTGTGGCTCAAGTGGTAGAGCGCTAGCCTTGAGCCGAAGAGCTGAGGGACAGCGCCCAGGCCCAAAGTTCAAGCCACACGACCGATAAAAAACAAAACAAAAAAAGACCTTCCATCGTCTTTTATCGTATTGGGATGTTTTTTAAGCTATGTCCATGCATATCATAAAGTTGTCAAGTTTGCTCTCTTCATGAGGTCTAAAAAGAGTGATAAGAAACCGGTTTCTAATACGAATATATAAATATATACACATGTCCATTGTGTTTCATGCTTTTATTGAAAATAACTAGTAGTCCTAGCACATGTAGGATTAAAAAGACCTTTAGGTATTGTAATAATTGTAGGTAGTTTTTCTTTGTGTACGAAGGAGCCTTTTCAAAATTGGATCTGGGAATCTGCTCTTTGCCTGCTATGAAAATATTTCTGAACATTGCTGGGAGCCAGGATGGTTTGAGGGAAGGACATGAACACTGGGACCATCAACTGAGTTAAATTGTAAATAATGAACCAGATGAGAGAAATATAATTTTGGGCTCTCACAAGAAACTTCTTTATTTTAATGTTTGCTTATTAATAACTGATAATTTGAGAATTTTACCTTATAAGAGACTGATAGAAGAGTAAAAAAACAAAGCAATCACAGATATCTTGTAAAACCTGTCTAATGGGTGGCTATAGTAATTACCCTTAGTCATCATTGGAAGCTGTAATTTTGCTTGTAGTTATTTTAACAGTGAGTGCATGGGGGAATGTGGATGTAGTCCAGTAATAGAGCTCCTACATGCAGTCCCCAGAACTGAGAACTTACTCAGGCTGAGTTACTAATTTGAGTTACACTTTTGATAAGTGAAAGATTGGGAAGAATTTCACTGATAGAAATTCTGTAGGCTTTTTTGAAGAATTTTTTTTTTGCTTTTGTTCTAAGTAATTTGTAATGTTCCTTTACTTTGTCATAGTGAATTGACTATGACTAGATCACACTTGAATGTTCCTTGTGTTTCAATGAGAAGCTTAAAAGGATAATAAGACTTGTTTAGTCAGTGCTTTTTCTTTTTTAAAGTTAAGGACAAGACAGCCCACATTAACAGGTTGCCTGATGGACATAGAATTTAAGTCATTATGCGTCTATTAGGGAAAACGTCCCAAGAGAATTGAAGCTGCTTCCATTCAAAGGCTTTCATCCAGTTGAAATCATTTAAGTTTTTACTTGATTTGTTTGCTTCTTTCTCAGTAACTGAGGCTAACTAGATTGGTTTTGATCCATTTTAACCTGTTCCAGCTTCTTCTCTGAGTTGTGAAATGCTTTTTGCTATTTAAACTCTTAGCAGAGTTTGGACTTCCTTGTTAGAAGTTTAACTGTTTCGGAAAAGTATTAAAGTGGGGAGTTAATTGTTTGAGTAATAAGCCTGGAAGGAACCCAGGCTGCAGATGGAGGTTGTAGATGGAGTCTGGAAATTGTCACCATTATGGTCTGGTGTCACTGACATGCCTCGGTGAGATTTTACTTTGAAGAGTAATTGCCCTGGGGCCATGTTGGTGGCTCATGCCTGTAATTCTAGCTACTCAGGTGGATGAGATCTGAGGATTGAGGTTCGAAGCCAGTCCAGACAGGGAAGACTCTTTGAGACTGTCAGTTAACCACCAAAAAAAAAAAGTTGGAAATGGAGCTGTGGCTCAAGTGGTAGAGTGCTAGCCTTGAACTCAAGAGCTCAAGGACAGTGTCCAGGCCCTGAGTTAAAGCCTCAGGGGACAGGGACTCTCCCTCCCCTCCCTTTTCTCCCCTCTCTTTCCTCCCTCCCCCCCCTTCTCTTGTGTAAGTGCACACGTGCACACACACTGCAGGATGATACACTGCTGCAAGATGATCCAAAAAATAAATTCTTTTTTTTTTTGGTCAGTCCTGGGCCTGGGCACTGTCCCTCAGCTCTTCAGCTCAAGGCTCTACCACTTGAGCTACAGCACCACTTCCCCAAAAGTAAATTCTGAGAGTAAATATCACCTTTTGGTTTCTTTTCAGTTTCTCTGTTGAGTATCATTTCCTATCCACTTCTTCTGATACTTTCAAAGCTTGGATTCATTCTAGGATTTAGAGGAACTCTGTACAGTTTGAGAAAAGAAGCCTCATTAATAACTTTTAAACCAAAGTCACTTCCCATATTGGAGATACCCATTTCTCTTACTTTAGTTATTTTGGCTATTCTTTGCCAAAGCTGCATGGATAATTGTGATATTATTTATCTTTAAGTCAGCTCACATTGTAACATTAACTTTTTTTTTTTTTGGTCGGTCATGGGGCCTGAACTCTGGGCCTGGGCTCTGTCCCTCAGCTCTTCAACTCAAGGCTAGTGCCCTACCACTTGAGCCACAGCCTCACTTGGCTGCTTTTTCCTGCTTATGTGGTACTGAGGAATCAAACCCAGGGCCTCATGCATTTGAGGCAAGCACTCTACCACTGAGCCAACTTCCCAGCCCATTATTAACATTTTAATAGAATACCAGTAACTAGGAAATGCAGATAAATAATAGGTAACAGCAAAAAATTATAATACTGTTTTTTTGTGGGTTTATTTTGGGGGAGGGGTTGGCTGTGGGCCTGAACTCTGGTCCTTGGCACTGTCCCTCAGCTCTACAGCTTAAGGAGAGCGCTCTACCACTTGATCCACAGTGCCACTTCTGGTTTTCTGTTGTTTATAATTGAATGTGAGAGTTTCACAAACTTTCCTGCCCAGGCTGGCTTTGAACCATGATCCTCAGCTCTCAGCCTCCCGAGTAGCTAGGATTACAGGCGTGAGCCACACACACACTTAAAAAACTTAAGAAACAGGCTAATGAGTGTTACTTTGATAGGCACCAACATGAGAATTTATCCTGGTTGTACAAGAATTGAAAGAAAATGTATGAAAGTCTCATAATGTTAAATCCAACATTTAATACTAGGTTTGTGCTACTCAGTTTGACAGACGAGTAGGATAGTGCTTCGTACTTTGTGAGCCCATATGAATTCATGTGCTGGATGTTTACATAATGTTTAATACATATAATCAACCATCTTTAGCCTTTACAGCTCTTTTTTTCCCTTGTGGTTAACAGATGCGGCATTCCAAACGAACTCACTGCCCTGATTGGGATAGCAGAGAAAGCTGGGGACATGAAAGCTACAGTGGAAGTCACAAACGGAAGAGGAGATCTCACAGCAGTACACAGGAGAACAGGCACTGTAAACCATATCATCAGTTTAAAGACACCGATTGGTAAATTATTCTTAAGCATTTTAGCCCTAAAAGTTTTAATAATTTGTCATTTTGCTTACATAGCTTTCATCTGTCATGTTATTTTAGCATATAGGAAACAAGTATTTAAAAAGTTTTTAGTGCCTGTGGTAGAAGAGTTTTTGCAAGTGCTGGCTAAGGCCAAATAAAGTTCTTGTTGTCATGTCTGAAGCTGTCTGGGAGTACTGGGGACAGTTGATTAGTAAGTGCATGAAACGCATATTCAAGGGTAGGGTATAACATTGCTCATAGAGCACTTGCCTAGCATGTGTGAGGCTCTGGATGTAATACCCAGCATCACCAAAATATCAAAAACAATGAAAAACCCAAGCAGAAAAATATATTCAGTAACATAAATGTTCAGCAAGCATGATGTGTAATATTCAGTGAGTGTCTTTAACTTAGAAGAGAGACATTTATGTTGAGGTGCTCATTGTTTTTGCAAATGAGATGGGGTTAATCCAAGTGGGAAAAAAAGCACGTACTCTTCAAGACTGTTAAGTACATTGAGATTAGTCATTTATGTTCTACAGGTTATATTTATAGAATATAACTGGGAAGTTTTAGAAAATTAAAAAAATGTCTGGACTATTTTTAGCTTTATTCTAAGAATTACTCCTTTATACAGGTAATTGCTAGTAATTTAGGAAAAGGTGTTGACAAGTAGCATGTGTCCTGTTTCTTCTTACTGGAGGAATACTTGTATACAGTAATAAGGAAATCTTAAAGATCACAGGTTAAGTAAGAGTTTCTGTCTTCCATTGATTTCCCTTTCTCATTTTTGTTTTGTTTTGTTGTTTTCTTCTCCTTTGTGCAGATGTTCCATTGGGACTGTTTATTAGATTGATTTCTAAATTAGTTAACTGGAGTTCTTTTAAAAACAGTATGCGATACTTTATTGTGCTATACAGATTTGCTCTGCCAAATAATCAAGTGATTTGTAGGCTGAGCCGATTTAACATATTTTATCAAATAGTTAAGCATAAGGGAAAGGAGAAAGTTTATCTCAGGATTTCAATGACCAGAGCTAATTAATATCCATTATACTATAAAAAAAATCTGAACTTCATTACTAATAAGTACAAAACAAGTCTCATGAAGCCTGAAACATAGTACTGTTTATAGGTTATTAAACATTATACATGTAGAAAGGAAGTGATTTGAGGGATGACAGCTAGTACATATTCATAGCTAATTGTATAAACATATTAATATGTCAAGCCAATGTGTTAATCTTTCTTTGACAGTGACACCAGATAGCTTTGATAGTAATTGTTCACAATAACCTAGAATATTTTGATAGTTTTTTGGATGATTTTATAAACAAAACTAAAAATGCAGAAAAAAATAAGGCAGGCAGCTGTAGTACAATTGTCATGTACCACTATTTCGTGTAAATTATTTTGCTCTTAAAATATCTGTGAACATACAGATCTTTTGTCTGTTTCCTGAAAGTAGACTCTGAGAAGAGGCATTTTCAGGTTAAAGCATATGAACTCTTAAAAGATTCTTGATGCACTTTTACTTTTTTTTTTTCTCTTGGAAAGCTAATGCCAAATTACAGACAATGTATTCTTTCATGCTGTCACCATTCTTGGCCATTTTAAAGGTCAAGAATTTTAAAAGTGTTTGAATTTTAAAATTGATAGATTTTGTTTACTGTAACTTATTTATGGACCAGATGAACTTTTTACTGACTTACATACTTTTTCTATGTGTAATTATTTTAACTGTCTTTTTCTGATTGGTCCTTTCATTAATCATTAGGCACAGTATACTGAGATGATGCATGAGTGTTAGCAGTAAAGAACATTTTTATATATTGTCAAAATCCTTAAATAAGTCTTTCTTAAATGTCAGATATCAAATGTTAAAAAGATTCTCAAAACTATTGGAATAGGAATGACTTTTTTGAGGTATTTAAAATTCAGATGATCAGCTTTAGATTTAGTGAGTATAATCAGAGGCCTTACATCATTTTTAATAAAAGATTTATGTTTAATATTGTTACTAAACAGACCATCCTTTGAGAAATAGTTGTTAGCTAGACACATCTACAAGGCTTTTAATGCTTTATTCTTAATGAGAGAAATTGGTCTATATTTTCCTAGGTGAAAATTACGCTTGCTGGAATTGTCTACTCACTATATCCTGAGTAACACATAGACAGATTCTTCTTTAAGTAGTTGTGGCTGAAGGTGCTATGTAAATATGAGATAGATGACAGGTTTTATCCTCTGAAATTTCTTTCTGCCTAGTACTTTATCCACTGCTTAGCCTCCTTTTAGGATACCTCTATTTCTATCTTTTTCATGAGTGCTTTCCTAGCCATTTCAAGATTGAGTTCTTTGCCTATTCTGACTCTGAACACTTGTGTAGCCTTTGAACATTTCCCATATTGTTAGGCCTTATTTTTATGTGAGTAGTATCAAATTACTTGTTGGCATGGATTCTGCCTAACATAATTTTGTCTCCTACAGGATTTGTCTAGAAATTAAAACCAAGGCCCGTACTCTCATCAGCTTTGGCTCTTTTTTTTTTTTTTTTTTGGTGTCAATTGTGGGGCTTGAACTCTGGGCCTGGGGGTTGTCCCTCAGCTCTTCAGCTCAAGGCTAGTTCTCTACCACTTGGGCCTACAGCATCACTTCTGGTTTCCTGGTGGTTTATTGGAGATGAGCCCAGGCTGGCTTTGAACCATAATCCTCAGATTTCAGCCTCCTGAGTAGCTAGGATTACAGGCATGAGCCACCAGTGTCCCGTAGTTTTGGCTCTTTTTGAAAGACCACAATAAAATATTTACAGGTCATTTAGTGAATAATTTTGAAAGTTAAATCAGTCCATTTTTTTCTACTTGTTTACTTCTATGGTCTTTATCAAATCTTTAAACCTTGGCATTGTAGATTGAAAGGGTTCTTAGCAGTTTAGTTTATCCGATGGTGTTATAGTCACTATGTTTTGTTACTGTATTTCTTTTATCACAAACTCCAATGTTATGGTGTAGTCCATATAAAGATTATTAGTGTTAAGTACTTTTTTCATGGAAAGATATTTGGCCTTTTATGGATCAAATTACATACAGAATTAAACAGAAAGCTCTATGGAATATATTAATTTCTAGCTTGTGGAGATCTGTCCCTGACAGTTTCAAAACTACTGGCTTAGACCACAGCTTACCCTAATAAATAATCTGACTTGTTTTTCTACTAGTTAGAGCTTAAAATATATAATAGAAAATAAGAAAAGGTTCTTATATCTCCCCAGCCTGAGTTAGATGCCAACCTTGATAGGTAGTAGTTTTAGAGATGTTCCCTTTATTTCTACCTAGAACAGCTTCCTGGGAGAGAGAATGATAGCATATCTGGGGCATGGAGCGGGGTTGGTAAGGGCGTTCAAGGCAACATCTGTCACTCCATTGCTTGTCAGGATTATTTTAGTTCATTTGTTGTCTGACTGGGCAGGTGTCCCCTCTCTCCCTCAGTGCTCCATGTGCATCCCTCTTGAAGCTTCGCACTCTGTTGAAGAGGACACTCATCCCAGGTAGAGAGGGGGAGGGGAACTGGGCCACTTTTTCCATCAGATCAAGGCTACTTAACTGGAATCCATTGATTTTCTAAGTTCTATATCTCTATGAAATTCCTTGCCAAATATATTTTTTGGGAAGAGGACGTCCACAACTTGCATCAGATCTCAAGGGATCTGTAGATCTAAACATTAGATAATGATCTTTTTTCTATTGTATTTCTCAAGCAGAAATGACAGGAAGTTAGAGATGTAGAGGAAAAAAGTGGTGGGACTTTGGTAATCTGGGTAAGCAATTTCAGGATCCCTTTCTCATTTGTGGGAGATATATTTAAGATGTCTTCACCATACTTAGGCAGTTCTCAAAAACTATATTGTCTACTGTAGGAGTAACAGCTTAGAAATACAAAGAGGAGAGGAGACAGAAAAGGTAATGTATAATAGCAGTTCAAAAATGCCTCAGTTTTTGCATGGATGTGCTTTTACAACCATGGCATGTTGTTTTAGGGATTTTAGTTTTGTCATTCGTCAAATGAAAGGGCTAGAAAGGCTCCTATCTGTAAGACATGTGTGCCAGTAATACCTAAATGCACTTACATTAAAAGAGAAAGGAATCCTGTTTTGCCTCCCCTGTGTTGGTTTTGAGAGAGGAAAAGGAAACTAAGTTTTAAAAGGTACATATCATAAGATTGAATTTCAGAAGAGCACTTTAGTGGTATTTTTTGGTCTTTTTCTAGAAGGTAAAGGAACAATTTACTCAAGTAAACACTAAACAATATGACTTAAATTTTATTCCTTGATGTGATATACTTGACAGCATTTTTATAATAAAGAACGAACCCATTTGCTTGTTGGTTAAAAGTTATTTCTTAAGCTTTGCATAGGTCTACATTTTAACTCAATTTTGAATTTTTCTTTTATTGAGTTAGCTGATTAAACCAAGAATTCTTGAGTGTCTTTATTTTGAAGCACTTAATTCCAGAATAAAGAGAATAATTTGAAATCCTTTAATGTGTTTACAGTCATTATTTAGAAGCAAGGTCTTTGAATGAGAGAGATTACCGGGATCGGAGATACGTTGATGAATACAGAAATGACTACTGTGAAGGATATGTTCCTAGACATTATCATAGAGACATTGAAAGCACTTACCGAATTCACTGCAGTAAATCTTCGGTCCGAAGCAGGAGAAGCAGTCCTAAAAGGAAGCGTAATAGACACTGTTCAAGTCATCAGTCACATTCGGTATGATTGATTTCGTTTTTATTTTGAGTGGATTCTTATTTGTATATAAAAACTCTTAAGGAGCTGATAAATTTCTAAAAGTTCTTTATATGTAAAGTATTATTTGGATATATTAAAATTTATGTATGTACTTGAATCCTTAAAGGATACTGTACATGCTCATAGCTGATCTGTATATTAGCTAGCGTTTATTTGCCCACATTTACTCATATTCTGCAAATTAAGTCATGAGTTTGTTGATTTTTAATAGTAAAAGTATCTTATTTTTGTGTTTGTATAGTATACCATTTAAATAAAAATGAAGCATCCAGATTTCTTTCAACTTAAATTTTTTTTTACTCTGAAAGAAACCTCTTTACTGATATTTGGAACCAAATAGAGAAAGTTGCACTATTGTGTATCAGTGCCTCAAAGGCCATAGCTCATCTTCTGCATCTAAGTCGGTTGACATTGTGAAGATGGGTGTTAAATGGGAAATGTATTTTAAAAGTCAGCTTTTTTTTTTCTGCTGTAACTCTCACATGTTCACTTGTTTAATCTGTACACTTTTTAGTTTTCCACCCTGAGTTTCCTTCAGTACAAATAATATTAGATTGAACACTGAAATGAGCTAGCCTTTATTTCCCCCTTTTACTATAATCATGTGTATATTTAAATGTTGCTAAGTAAGGACAATTTCAACTAAGTATGACGTTTTAAACATTTTTTTTACAAACTAGACATTTCATCTCACAGCATATGATAGAGCAAGAGATTAGTAAATCATGACATTGCATTCTTTAAATTTCAGACTTCAATTAAATCAATATTTTAAAGAGACAATTGTGATGTTTTTTCTATTGCCACTTTAAGTATCTTATCTGAAAATCTGTTCCTTGCCATGTTTTTCTTCTGTAACATAAACTGTGCCCTGTGAATTTCTGGGGACTGAATTTGAAATTGCTCCTGCCAACTGTTCGTGGCCTGGTGCTTATCTGAATGCCTGAATATCTCCCCGCTGAATGAATTGCGTATTCTGCCCTGAATTCACTCTGATATATTGATTGGCTGGACGATCTTGGTGCTGCCCACTTGCCGGTTCCAGAAGAGCCACCGAAGGAAAAGATCCAGGAGTATAGAGGATGATGAGGAGGGTCACCTGATCTGTCAAAGTGGAGACGTTCTAAGAGCAAGATGTATAGAATATTTTTCAACACTTTTTAAACTTTGCAGACAGAATAATCTTTTTAAGAATAGTTTGTCAGCGGGGGGCTAAAGAACTCTTCATTGCTTGTTTGTTTTGTTTTTTGTGGGTTTATTTGTTCTTTTGTATTTCTTCTTTTCTGTATAATTTAAATATATCTACTCTAAAGTTGCAAGATAATCAGTGGAATTTGAGATTAGAGCAAGACAGATAGCTGTATCTAATTGTTTTTGTAGCAGCTGAAATAACATAATTTGAGTGCTGAAACCTTAGTTATGCTTTGATAGAGATCATTTGAAAATATTCCACAAGCATTCATTGTTTGAGTAACTAGATAATTTGTACTTAGGTACTTATACCTCTTTTTCTCTCCCTTACTTAGATGAAATCGTGGACACTTTGGGTGAAGGGGCCTTTGGCAAGGTTGTAGAGTGCATTGATCATGCCATGTAAGTTTGTTGCTATTTCCTTTTATGAACATTCTGGTCACTTTTGATGGGGAAGGTCTCATAATTGAAATGAAGTTATATTTGGCTATATGTTTTTCCAGAAAATATCCAACAAAATACCTTGAACTTGCCAGGTGCTGGTGGCTCATACCTGTAATCTGAGCTAACTACTCAGGAGGCTGAGATCTTAGGATCGATCATAGTTCAAAGCCAGCCCAATCATGAAAGTTTGTAAGGCATGAAATTTTGTGAGACGCTTATCTCCGATTACAAAAAGCTGCAAGTGGCACTGTGGCTCAACTGGTCAGTCTTGAGCAAAAAGAGCTTGGGACAGTGCCCAGGCCCCTAAGTTCAAGCTCCAGGACAGGGGGGCAGGGTAGAGGATGACAACGACCTTGAACTAGATGTGATTTTTTTATTTTATTTATTTTTAATTTTTGGTCAGTGGTGGGGCTTGAACTCTGAGCCTGGATGCTGTCTCTCAGCTCTTTAGCTCAAGGCACATGCTCTCCACAGTGCCCCTTCTGGTTTTCTGGAGATAAGAGGCTCAGGGACTTGCCTGTCCAGACTGGCTTTGAGCCGTGATCCTCAGATGTCAGCCTCAGTAGCTAGGATTACAGGCGTGAGCCACTTGGAGCCTGGCTTAGATGTGATTTTTTAAATGCTAACACATTCTACCAAGTAGAGTTCATTCAGTAGATGAACTCCTTCAAGTAAAGAGTCCCACAACTTGGGCTTTTGGCCCTCTGTAAGAGAATTCGTTATTTTGGGGTTACAATAAAGCAAATTAGACTAACCTAATAAAGTACCCATATTAAAGCTAGCTTTCTAAACTGTATTACTTTAAAGGCCTAAAGAATAAGATTCAAATTATTTGTTTTCTAATTATGGTTAATTACTGGCATTTTTGAAATGTGTAAGGTACGATGTCATGTAAAACTAAGGTACTAGAGTCATTTTAACTTGGAAGGGCTGGGAATGTAGCTTAGTGATAGACACATTTGCCTAGCATCTCGACTCTAGATGTCCAGAAGAAATCACAGAAAGCAAAGAAGGGAATCCCAGCAACTGAACCCAGAAAAACAACAAAGTTTCCTTGTTTGAAAGAGCACTGGGTATTCCAGTCCAAATTCTTTTTTTTTTTTTTTTTTTGGTCGGCCTTGGGGCTTGAACTCTGGGTTTGGGTCCTGTTCTTCAGCTCAAGGCGAGCACTATACCTCTTGAGCCACAGGGCCACTTCCTCCAAATTCTTTAAATGAGGCATGCTAACCTGTTTGTGATTGACCTGCTGCCTTATTTTACCTTCCTCCCAGTGTTCCATCTTTTGTAAAGAACCTCTTAAAAGAATATAGTGAAACTGCACTTTGCTAAATGGCATCTGAGTGTATCATAAATTAAGGTGATCAGAATGATTTCCAGCTTATTGAAAGCAAGAGTTTAAAAATAAAGCATCTTTATTATCATTCAAAAATGTGAAAATGATTGAATTTTATAATATGTTGAAATATTTTTAGACTTACAAAAAAGTTGATAAAATGGTTGAAAGAATTCCCAAATGTACTGACTAGATTCCTTAAACATTAGCATTTGACTATATTTGCTTCATTCTTTATATATACATTATGTTTTCAAATTTTAACATCAAACTTTAATACATAGTTCTCATTGAGGTTTCACCAGTTGTCCTTATTAACCTACTTCTAAACTTTTCTGAGATTTTAGTCACTATTTAATAAAAGTATCCCAATGAATAATATTGATAAAAGTAGAACTATATTTACAGACATGAAAAGTTTTATTCTGCTCAGGCTGGCTTTGAATAGTGATCCTCTGGGTCTCAGTCTCCTTAAGTAGCTAGGATATTATGGACATGAGCCACTAGCACCCTACTCTGAAAAGTTTTTTGAAGTATCTTACTGAGATGGTTGGGCTTTGTACAGCTATCCATAGGTAAATACCTCAATATATATACAGCAATGTCCCCGTTTTCACATTTTTATAGATAGACATACCGAGACGACTTTTTGGCTATATTATTTAAAAATTTGGGTTGTAAGAGTTTTGTTTCGGCTTGTATTTGTAGGGATTGAACTTGTTAGGGCAAGTACCGCAAGTTTTTGTGGTAACTAGGGACTGACCTAGGGTCTTGAGAGCTTGCTAGGCAGGTACTGTACTACTTGAGCTGTGCTACCATGCCTCTAGCCCTGTTCTGCATTGGTTATTTTTAAGGTAGGGTTTCACTTTATACTCAAGTAGAATTCTCCTACTTGTGATTTCCTGCATTACTGGAAATACCATTGTATTTCCTCAGCAGGGTTAACAGGTGTACACCACTGCACTCAGCCATTGGTTTAGATGGAGTCTTGAGAACTTTGTTTTGCTGTGAACCAAATTGTGATCCCCTGATCTTTGTCTCTGAAGTAGGCTAGGATTATAGAATTACTGGCTTGAGCCATTATCCCTTCCTGTAGTTTGATGTGGTTCCTCCTCC